TTGGAACTTTTAAATCCTGTCATTAATTATGGATTGTTTCTATGTGTTTTAACTGAAGGATTGTTCTGCTCTGTGTTACCTTGATTCTCCCTGGTGTTAGTGACCAGCAATCTGTGTGATGTCCCCCAGAGTTACACAGGTCCTTGGAGCACATGCAGGAAGAGCAGGAGGAGGGAAGTGTGTGCAGCAGCAGTGACCTCACGGTCTCTGTCAGTGAAGATGACCTGATTTTATACAGCCCAGAACCACAGCCAAATCCAGGCACCCAGACTGAGGAAGAAGGTGGGATACAAGCCTTAGCACTAATCCACACTGAACAGGAAAGAGATGTCCTCGCCACTGGAGAAAACGATTGTGTTTTGCAAACCCTGAGCTCTCCTGATTCAAAAAAGACATCCTCCACTAACTCCCTGAGACAGTAAGCCGTTCTTTTTTCTTTTCTTACTGTTCTTAAACATAGACAGTTTTAGAGACTCTTTCACTAAGAATGTATTGTTGAACACTCAGCCACAAACATATATGTTTCTTAAGTCTCATAAGTAGTCTTTTAAAGATAAGATCTAATTTTTTTCTTTCTTTTTTAAACTAGCTTTTTAAGAGTAATGATCACTGAATCATTGTGATTGACATCTTATATTATCCAGATAGTCCCCGTTTAATTTATAAATCACCGTACCTCTTATTCTTAAGCCTTTTAAAAAATAAATCCATTTTATTTTTATGGAATTTTGTTACCATAGAAGGTGACAGACAAATTTACTAGCATTTCACCTTTAGAGACTAAGAACTTTGTAGCTAATTACTTAATCTTTATTTAACTTGATATAGTGTCACTTTTCTCATACAACTAAATAAGCTAATAAGTTATATATATATTTGTTATATATATTTAAGCAAGATTTTCTTTTTTGAGTGTAAATGTGAGGACTTGGAATTTCTAATGCTAAATACAAATATCAGTGTTATACATTTTCAGCACTTATAATACCTAAGTCATGAAAGTTAATGTATGCTTTTTAACTATTGATTGGAGATACTAGGTGCAAAAATATATTATCGAAAGTTTTTGTGTATCTGATCTATAGACTATAAAGCTTGTTAACTGTTTAAACTGATTCTGTGATGTTTAAAAAATAGTACTAATAGAATCAAACCTCTCTTGGTGTGAGAAAAAAGCTAAGTAAACAGCCTGAGGTAGATTCACATTTTACACATGAAGAAACTAAGGATAGAGCGCAGAAGTGGCACAGTGAGCATTGGGCCGGAGCCCTCTTTACGGCCCACTCCCCAGCCTTCTCACCCCCAGAACCTGCAGTTAATCTGTGGCTGGTCAGCTTCCTCCCAGCATCCCTGGCAGCAGTGAATGTGCTTCACCTTGTGTATGCTCTGTGTGAGGTTGAGTTGAAGAGAATGTGCATTTGGGTTGTTGGGTGAAGTATTCTGTAAGTGTCACTTGGATCTAATTGATTGATGGACCTCTTTCATCACTGCTTGCCTGCTGGATCTATCAGTTACTGATAGAGATGTGTTCAAGTCCGCATCTATAATGGTAGATTTATGTACTTCTCTCTACAGCTCTACCCATGTTTGCCTGTGTATTTTGATGCTCTTATATTAGGCATGTGCACAGTAAGGATTTTTATAATATTCCAAGAAATAGAGTTTTTGTTATTTATCCTTGGTGTGCTCTGAGCTTTCCCAGTTATGGTTTTGGGTCTGTCATTAATTTTGGAAACTTCCCAGTCATTATTACTTCAAATGCTTTTTCTGTTCCTTTCTCTTTTTGTTCTCTTCCTGGTATTCCTATTATGTGTATGTTATATCCTTTGTAGTTGTCCCATAGTTCTTGGATATTCTGTTCCATGTTTTTCTTCCTTCTTTCTCTTTACACTTCAGTTTGGGAGGTTTATATTAACAGCATCTTCAAATCATTGAGTCTCTTCTTTTTCTCTTCCTCCTCTTCCTCCCCCTCACCACCCCCCTCCTTTTTCTCCTCCTCCTGCTGCCTCTTCTCCTCCTCCTTCCTCTTTTCTGTTTCTCTCTCTGTCTATCTGTTTGTCTCTTCCTCCGCCCCCAGGCTCTTACTACCTTGTCTCAGCTAGTTCCTAAACACTTAGGATGAAAGAGGGTCAGGGGACCTCAGCCTCCTGAGTAGCTAGGACTATAGGCACCACAGCTCTATGCCTGGCTAATGATTCTTTTCTTCACTATTTCCAGTCTTCTAGTGAGGCATGCTCTGTTGAGTTTAAGGTTTTCCTTTTTTGAGTTATGTAGATCATTTTAAATTAATTATTCTTGGCAAGGTGTGGTAGTGCACGCCTTTAATCCCAGTACTCGGAAGGCTAAGGCAGGAGGATTGCTGAGTTCAAAGCCAGCCTGGGCTACAAAGTGAGTTCATGGCCAACCTGAACTGTATAGTGAAAGCCTGTCTCATAAAGACAAAAACAAAACAAAACAAAACAAATTAATTGTTCTAAGCCCACATATTAAAGAATTAAGATATTTTCCCTTCCAATTATAGTACCATAATTAAAAACACTGATTAATTTCCATTTGGATTCAACCAAAGTTTTCTGAACACCTACCAGTCCCAAAGCTCTGTTCCTCAAACTGTGAAACTATGGCAATTTAAAATGTGGCTGGAAATTCTTCAGCATTCCTCTTGTCCTTCCTTTGAATATTGGTGGACTTATGACTGTTTCCAACAAATAGAGCATGGTGGAATTGATGCCGCATGACTTCTGAAGTTGAGTTACGAAAGGCCATGCTGTTTTTACCTTGTTTGCTGGAACACTCGCTGAACTATGAACACCTGTATAAGAGTCTGCCTGTTCTGAAGTTGCTGAAGAAATTATGTGTAGGTGCCTGGCATCTAGTCCCTGCCAAGCCTTCTCCCTCTAGCCACCCTACAAGGAGCCCAACAAGTAAGTGAAGCCTTCTTGGACCCCCAGAAAAGTCTGTCAACAGCTGTCACCAAATGACCTCTCCTGATAACATGTGAAACACAGGCGTCACCAAGCAAGCCCTGCCTGATTTCCTGATCTATAATATCATGAGATATAATGCATTGGCTGTTGCTTGAAGATGCTGGGTTTTGGGGTAATTTGTTCAGAGTCTACAGATAAGGAAAGGAGAACATTCACTTAACAGTAAGTGTTGAGTGCCTTGTCTGTGCCTGGCAGTGGTCCTGCTTTTATGGTGCTCGTGATTGTATTTATTTCAAGGAAATATAAACCAGTAAGTAATCACGCAAAAAAGTGTGATGATGAAGAACAGTTACATGAAGAGAGAAGGCATGGGTACGATATATTGTTGTAAGATAGGGAAAGTCTGTCTGTTAAGATGGAACTTGAGTGGAGGCCTGAAGAAGTGAGGGAAGTGTCCCATTACACTGTGTTCCTCCCTTCTCTACCCACAGAGGCTGCTGAGTGCTTTGTCATTTACTTCTCACCCTTGTGAATGTTTATTTCTCAGTGGATATTTCTCCTCTCCTCCCACACCTGGGAGGCGGGTGGGATATGTCTGGAAGAAGAGCATAGCAGGTACAGGGAGCCACAGGGCGGAGGCCACATCATGGAAGCCTGCCTGGTGTGCAGTTGCTACCTGATGCTGCCTCTCAGCAGCTCATTGGGAATACAGCTGAAGTAGCATCAAGGATATTTTATAAGGCTAAAAAAGGAAGCTCGAGAAACAAATTAGATTCATTAATTTAAAAAAAGAAAAAAGAAAAGAAAACTAGGCAGAGGCAGTTGAGCCTTTTGCTCCATCCACATTGATTTTTGTGTCTTCCAGCCTCAAATAGGCTGATGAAGTGCTGTGTGCTTTCTTCAAGCCTGAACAAAGTGCTTGCAAAGTTGGTTTGTTCTCTTTTGGAGTGTGACTGAAAGCAGAATGTAATGCTGCCTTTCAAACTAAGTAGAATGAAAGCCTTGGTTTCTCAAGATCTAAAAAATGTAATCACATAGATTGAATCCCATTCAGTGATTTTAATTTAACCCCTCTTCAAAATTAAATATGGGAAAGAAGTTATTGCATCTGAGGAAGATTTGCTGCTGGAAGTATATCACCTAGAATAATAGAGTAGAATGATGTTCTCTTAGAGTTTACCCTAAATTCATTTTATGAGGAACTGTAAGTATATTTATAAATATACCATTTCTTCAAATATGATGATGCCTTCAGGTGTCTGTTCTTAGAGGCTATTTTTTCCAGCAGTTACTTTTTTTTCCTGACATGACCTTTGACCCTTCAATACAGGTAGCCTGTGTACCTTTTCTTGCCATCCCACAGATTCTGGGCTTTGTTTCCAGAGTAAGGTTGAGTATTACACCATCGGGAAAATAAGCCAGTGCCATTAAATGTGTTCACCAGGGCAACTCCTTCGTGTTCTGCTTGCCACATCGTTCCCCAGTCTTGTCTATGTCTCTCCTGTTAACTCACCTATTTTTATCTGAAAAATCTAAGGTTTTCCTTATCCTTATTTTTATTTATTTATTTTTTTGGCACTAGGGATCAAACTCAGGACTTTGCACTTGCAAGGCAGGCGGCAGAACTACTGAGCTAAATCCTCGGCCCCCTTATCCTTATTTTGGTTTAAATTTTCAAAAGTTCAGAGTGAGATTTACAGTGAGGTAGTCTTCAGACCTCATCATCAGCAAAGTAGGTGGTAATCACAGTAAGTGTCACTATACAGAGGATATTAAAAAACTCCATTGTCCAACTTTCAAGCCCAGTTTCCCTGCCTTTCCTAGTCATCCCATTGTAGGCTGCTGGCCTCAGCCAGAGCCTGGGTGACCTGGAACAAGAGAGATGGGCACTGAGAAGCACTTATAATGGTACTCAGGCATACAGGTCACTCAAAGACTGAAATCTAATCACAGGACGCTAGAATATCCCCAACACACCCACACACATTTGTGTGCACATGCACACACACACTCACACACACACCTTATTGCCACATCATTACAGCTTTTGCATAGTAATGGAAATTCAGCTGAAAGAACTGTGCATCCAGGCCTTATTTAAGAAGTCTCTAGGGAAACTCAAAGACAACAAGGAGACAAAAATAAGGGCACCCAAGGAAATACTAGCCTCTGATACCTTCACTCTAGCTCCTACCTAGATGAATGTAAAACCTTTCCTTGCAGGCCTGTTTACTCTAAAAGGTAAATACCTAGTACATCATGTCTTGTTTCAACAGAAAATTAGAAGGCATACTAAAAGGAAAAATGCTTAGTTTAACTAGATAAAGCAAGTATCAGAACCAGACTCAGATATGGCACATGTTGAAATTATCAAACTGGGAATTTAAAATATTATGATTAATAGTGTAGAGCTATAATGTAAAAAATGGACAATATGTGAAACAGATAGATGATATAAGCAGAAAAATAGAAAATAAAGAATTAGGTCCAG